AGTTCTCAGTCCTCTGGATTACGCACTCTTCAGGGACCTGGACCCAAGAGGGTCAAATCCGCCGACCCTGTGGGCGTGTGTGGGGGGTCTGTCCAGTCCCTTCAACGGGGAGCCTTCTTTCGCCCCCTCCTTCCCATCCTCCTCTCCCGTTGGGGGAGAGAGAGAGAGAGAGAGAGAGAGAGAAACAGCACCCTTCCTCGTTCGGGGAACGGGTTCGCAGCGTGAGGAAATTCCATCCACGTCCTCGTACGTCAAAGGGAAGCCCCTTCCCTTTGTCCCTTCCCCGGCGGGGAGGGTAAGGGTGCTGGGGGGGAGGGGTCAGATTCGCATCGCCTCTGGGGGTCCTCCTCTCCCACGCCGGTCCTTCTCCAGCGCGCCGGTCCTCCTCGGGTCCTCCTCTCCAGGTGGGGTTAGATACGCATTCGTCCCTGGGGGTACTCCTCCCCCTCCCCTCTACTCTCCCACGCCGGTCCTCCTCCGATCCTTCTCCCCAGGGTGGGGGGTCCCAGGGGGGGTCTTTTTCCTCCTCCTTCTCCTCCTCCTCCTTATCTCCGCATCCTCCTCCTCCTCCTCCTTCTCCTCCTCCTTCTTCTCCTCCTCCCCCTCCTGGTCGTCGTCGATGTCTTTCAGGGTCGGCGGCACCGGCCGGCAGGCCTTCACAATCTCTCGCGGTCGGGTGCGCCTTGTCGCATGACTTTTTCAGGCCCTGGAGGGCCCCAAGACGGTCCAAGAGGGCCCCAAGTCGGTCCGAGAGGGCCCGCCCCGAGTCGCCGAACAAGTGGCCCAAGGCCTCCAGACGGCCCAAGAGGCCTCCAATACGCCTCCCAATATGTAAAATGCGCAGGAGGGCACTAATGCGGCTTAAGGTGTCCACGTCCAAAGAGGCCCCCAAGACGGGGCCCAGACGGGGACGGACACGAACGGACATGTCGAGCCCTCAGCCCCGAGAGGCCTCCAGGAGGCTCCAAGGCGAGGCGAGGCGAGGCGACTCCCAGTTCGCTTGTGAGGGTGGCCGCGCGCGGGGCTGGGAGTGGGCGCCGGGGCGCCGCTCATTCAGTCAAGGGTTGACCTGTCTCTGTTTGTACGGTGCACATAACCGTCCTCCAATTGTGGCCACAAATTGCTGTCCGACGTAAGTGTTTGCCAATTATCCCCACGAGTTGCGTGAATAAACTCTGCCACATCATCGATCCATCTCCTGTGAGGTCGATGTGGTAATCGCTTTGCACGTGGATTTGTGTTGATAGGGTCCCAAAATCAAGCTTTTCGGCTCCACTTCCCTTTGTCATCGCACACAACCGCCCCCACAAGTCTCCATTTTATGCGTCTCTGTCGTATGCACCAATCTTCGTGTCCCATTTCGTGGCAGTATTGGTCGACATACTTCGTCGTGCGCCTGATCCAATCCTGCCATGGTTCAACAGTGTCGTTTCGAGAGTGTGCGCTCGATGTTGCGGTGGCGTCCGTGGTGCTGGAGTCGGTGCCACTGTCGTCGGAGTCCGGCGTGTCGCTGCTGCTTTCGGCATGGTCTCGGTCTTTCGCTTCCGCGCTGATGTCTTGGAAACGGCGTCGCGGGGATCCGAAGAGGCTCCGAGGAGGCTCCAAGAGGCTCCGAAAGGCCCCCGAGAGGCCCCTAAGAGGCCCTCAAGAAACCCCAAGGGATCCCCAAGAACCCCAAGAGGCCCCCAAGAGGCGCTCAAACTGCCCCGAAGAGGCCCCCGAGAGCGCTCCGAGAAGACCCCAAGAAGCATCCCTGAGGACTCTCACCTACAATCCAGGCACGGTGGCGGGATGGGCCGAAGGCCATTCCATCCTCCGCTCCCTGTGGTCTTGCCACAAGGGTGCACGGCGTGCTAATTCATCGCAAGGGTGCCTGGCGTGCCTTGGTTTTGGTTCCTTTTCCAAAAGAACTCCCCCTGGCGCTTCGGCCCGTCCCGCCAGGGAGGGTCCCGGGAGGCTCTTCCAGGATCGCAAACTCCACGAAACATCCTCCCTGAAACGGCCGTTTCGCTCGGGACATCCTCAACAAATCGCGAAAATGGCCCAAGATGGCCTCCAAGTCCGCCCAAGAAGAGGCCCCCAAGATCGCCCAAGAGGCCCCCAAAAGGGCCCCATGACGGCCCAAGGCCAAGACGGCCCCAAGAGGGCCCCAAGACGGCCCCGAAGCACCCAAGAGGGTCCCCCGTTGGCCCAGAAAGGCCCCCAAGACAGCTCCCGACGGCGTCAGACGTGCCAGGAACCCACCACGATGGCCGAAGTTGGCTCGAAGCTGGCCCAAGAGGCCCCCGAAAGGCCTCCAGGAAGGCCAGAAGAGGCCAACACTATTTATTTTCCTGCGGTTTTTGACGGATTTGGACATTTCCTTCTTTTCGGCCTTCCGACGGCCCGAGACGGCCCAAGAGCCCCCAAAGATCGCCGAAAGATCGCCCAAGAGGCCTCCAAGACGGCCAAGATGACCTTCAAGATGCCCACGTGTTCCCCGAAGGCTTTCCAAACCGAT